GCGATTCGGAAGTCTACTGTCCCTCAGGGTGAAAAGAAACCACCCTCGGCATGCTGGAAATGTGGTGAGTGGCATTTCGTCAATTTTTGTCCGTTCAGAAGACACCGCTGCGGCAGGTGCTCCCGTATGGGACACAAAGAGTATCGGTGTCATGGCGAGAGAAGGCAAGCACCCAGGAGGCATTCTCGAATTAGAACTTCCAATTCCAAGCTTCCGATGGCTCGCATTGGTCTGGTCGCTCATCAAAGCCCACATGTGAACAGGAGGAAATACGTATCACTGCGTATTAACAGCACACCTGTTCGTCTCCAGCTGGATACGGAATCAGATATCACGATCATTTCAAAAAGAACTTGGAAATTTATTGGCAGCTCNCGCATTGGTCTGGTCGCTCATCAAAGCCCACATGTGAACAGGAGGAAATACGTATCACTGCGTATTAACAGCACACCTGTTCGTCTCCAGCTGGATACGGCATCAGATATCACGATCATTTCAAAAAGAACTTGGAAATTTATTGGCAGCCCAGCATTAACCAGGACCAAACAAGTTGCACGCACTGCATCCGGAAGTTTACTGAAACTCTCTGGGAGTTCAAGTGTTCCATAACTCTTGATGGTATCAATGTGAGTGGCATTTGTCATGTGTCCGATCGTCCTGGATTGGATTTGTTAGGATTAGATTGGATTGACAAGCTAAACCTTTCGGACAGGCCACTGAATACTATCTGTTACAAGACACAGGCGACGAAAGCGAACATATTCAAAAAGGTGCCTGACTCATTTTGGAAGAGGAACTCAGAAGGTCGCAACCCGTGCACTAAGTCTTTGTTGTACCACCCTCAATCAAATGGTCAAGTCGAGAGATTTGTGGATACTTTTCAACGAGCACTGTTGAAGTCTCGGGGGTAGGGATCAACGTACGATCTATCTCCAAAAGGGGGAAATGTCAGGGCGCCCCCAGACAGAAGAAAAAGTACATGTGCAGAGAGTGACGCATCGCCAAGGTCACCATGGGTTCGACACGTCCGGAAAGTAGGTGAGTTGGCGGCTCCCACCTAACATGGCTTAGCAACAGACGACCAGCGTAGTGGGCCTGAGAATGTTCACGACCGGAACACCACCATTGACTGTACGGAGCGAACAAGTGAACGACCATATTTGGCCAATTAGTCATCCTATATATATATTTACGCAGACGCTCTGTATCTTTTGTCCTGGCAATACAGCCGTGTCCCCAGTTCTCTGTCTTCTCCCTATCGCGTAGTCTGGCAGCCTCAGTGCAGGTGTAACCAATAGCTCGACCACCGCACGATACAACACCTGCGCACCTTTGGTGGTTGTTTTGACATGAATACTAGCTTGGGTGACTAAGACCGAGAACTAAGCTGAGGAAAATACCGTTACTTCAGGTGATATGGAAATAAAAATTCAGCGTCCGCGATAAAAACAACAATACGGAACAAGGTACACAATGTGGTGGTGCGAAAAATTACAACGGATAATCGAGACATCGTCTAGAAGTAGGCCCACTTGTTGGCGGAACTCAAACAAGAGGCTATTTTGTCAAAATTAACACAATATTTACACTATAACTCTATAGGATTCTAAACTTACCTTAGCAAAACTCAACGGACGAGGGTATTTGGGTCCATAAACTTAGTAACCGATAGACACACAGGTGCATACAAGATTTCAACAGAAGTATTTTAATTGAAACGCACAAATAAAAAATACAGTAGTACGTCCCATTGTATTGCATGGTTAGTGGACGTTTGTTGACCACATTTAATCAGACCACCCTATTTTCGAGTCGTATTACCTTACGCTACTTATGATTTCGGTCTCTAATACGAATGCTGCGGGTTTAAGACAGCTGATTAAATCAGTTAAAATTTCATCAACATCTTCCAACAATATCTCGTTTAAAACGATAAGCAGTTTCCAGTAGTGTCCCAAATGGCTACTACACATGATGGAATATGCACATTTATACAACATCAACTTATTCGGGCCTTACCAGTGGAATTCAGCATCACCCCCGCGGCAGATATCCAAGTCTACAGTTGCACTTGGGTCCAACAGCGCTATCTCGATCTCGAATGTGAGCCGGAAACGACAACAGACTTTATCGTTAAACATTTACGGAAGCACAGGATACATTACCGTGTCGTCTTCTTGGATCGCCAATAGGCCATTATGGTGCACCAGGTGTATCAGTGATCAAAGAGTTGGAGCCTGAGTGGGTCAGAAACAAGAACGTTTCCGTTCCACTTGCGCGTGCTCTTGGCGACTAACCTATTTCTATTAATCCAAAAAGCTTCTTATTGCTGTTGACTTCTGGAATTCTCCAAAGAGCGTCGCCTAATCACATAAAAGTTCTAGCGCGCTCAATCTAAGTGTTGATGCCTGAGTTAGCAGCTGATGGGTTTATGAACGTAGATGTATAGTTATAGTTATAGTATATTTATAGCATAGTACTGTTATAGTATATTTATTTGTCTCCATCAATTTTCTCGCTATCGTCAAAGCAACACTTGACTTTTAAATCACCGAATAAAGCCAAAACCTCAATGTTTCGAGCAGTACTGGTCCAAAAATGCTACATGTCGTCTGAAACACCTTATATGCCTGAAATGGAGTTCCATTGGGCTGTTGTCCAGAACAGACAATTCAGGTAGCGTGATCCCGTATGTATGATCATGTGTTTGGGCTAAATTGAATATGCCATAGACATTGTACCGTACAGAGTAATCGTGAAAGTGAGCATCATTGAAGTTAGCAGATAACCCTAACTTTGGCTAGAAAACAGGTCACATATTTTTGCTCACCGAATGCGTGAATACATGCTCAAGTTCCTGAGTAATTAAAAGCATAGAATGAAACTAAAAATGTCCCCCGGGAGTGACTTGATCTCGATTATCAGTTAACCGACAACTAAAGCACTGCCGAAAGAGGCTAAGTTACATTTTTTCGTTTCACGCTACTGGAGGCACTCAGATAGGAAACCGCCAATTTCTAGGAGGTCAGATAATCGATAACTGGCTTTGAATGAGAAAGATCACTTCTCAAGAGGAATAAAATTTTGGGTTCAGGACGTAGTAACTGGTGCAAATTGGATGATAAGACCCGTAACAACACACGGCATGTGGCTACCAAAAATATTAGAAGTGTATTTTAGGAAAAAAGGCACACGTAACTGCGGAATCAATAAGAGTTGGCAGTACTTTTAGTTCAATCCGTAGCCCGCCCACCCCAGAATCAAACATTGCCGGAGGTACTCTATATTCGGTCAAAATAATAACATCTTCCGTTGCATTTCTGTTTTAAATTGGGTTATTTAATTTATTGTTATTTGCATGTCTACGACACGCGCTTCAAATTTCTAGCTTCCAAAGCACGCGTTTGCTGCCAAACTATTCCGCTCTCTCCAAGTACGAAGTGTCAAGTACTAGCATCCAGGAGGTCATGTGACCCGTATGACCGCAGCTTAACCCGCTTTTGGTTATTCAGCTGGATGATTTTGGATGATTTTTCCGCGAGCGCCTACTAGAACGAAGCAAGCATGTATACTAATTCGGCCATGGTAGTTGACGAAGCTGGTCAGTAGTCAGTTAATTTTAATGTTTCCATGGTTAACAAAGTTCATTTCTGGGATTTGAGATGGTTCTCTGAGTGCATTTGAAAGAAGCCCAATAAAGGTGTAACTATTCTCCGGTCCTGTATAAGGACCGGATCACGTAATAATTTTGATTCAAGTGTATCCACAGAGAAATGCGCATATTTACACAATGTTGAAATAACAACTTGGAGGGAATTTCACAAGCGGTTATGTTGATTAATGTAGTTTCGCCCCACTAGTCATTACCATTGCTCAGTTATGACTCAATCACGGGTAAAAACTAATAACTAATATTTGTCAGAACTCTGACTCACTGAACTATGTTTTAGTGATTATTGACGGGGAGGATGGATGAAATTTACCTTGGATTTGGATTTGCTGATGCTGGATTCGGACTCTGGGTTAACTGCCCAGTATCATTCAGCTGTACATCTAACCTCTATCCTTTTGAACCAAATTTAGCGTATCCGCAAAAATTCGATCGGTGCCTAAGTTTTCAGATATTCATTCCAGACCTTAGGATGGTGACAGGTCCTAGGCACCTTGGTCCTGCAGGCACCAAGGGCTTTTGAATTAGTCACCCGTATTTTTCTTAAGCTGCGTAAGTCAGCCAACACAGTTTTCTAACATAGCTTCAATTTATGTTTTTCTCCACAGATTCGGTGTTCATATGAAGCGACTGTATCTAATCTGTGGGAGCGGCTGTCACCAGGGGAAAGGTTTATTTATATTTTTGGTTCAGGATGCAACTGTGATACAAAATCGACTGTTGCTTCTAGCTCACCAGCCACTATCGAGCTCGGTTTTATCACGACGCATTACACATCCGCATATCACAAGTACACCTTTGCTACCGCACGAAGTTACAGCCAACGGAGCAACCAAGTCAGAGGGCTACTGGTTTGAAGGAGAGTCACCAGTCAATCAAGCGTCACGAATTTCCATGTCTCCATTTAAGCTAGATCCCTTGATCAATGAACAGGGACCAAACAGCAGTCGTCCGGCGCATGATTATGCACTTTCGTCGCCAAGACAGACGCAAAGTTCTGTAACATTTGAGAACGGGCTCAATTACTCAAACCAAACGCGAGCCCCATGTGAGCATAAACAAGCATCTGGGAAGTGGTTTACTGACGGATGCTCACAAACATCAGCTGATTCCAACAGTGTCAATGAAGAAACTAATCTGGGAGAAGAAAACGAAGAACTAAAACGAGAAACACAAACTCCAGATCCCATCTTTCGAAGCTTTTTGATGCGCGGACATGCACAGGCACAAAAACTCAAGCATTTTGGAAATCAGCCCGTTTATGCAAACACAGGAAACTTTCCAAGCCCAGTGCAATTGGACAACACAGTTCCGGGGGCCGAACGGATGACAGATGGCAGGTGGGTTAATATGATAAAATACAAAGGTACTCAAGATGTCCAGTCATAATATCATATACTTGCATTTCGAATTCAGAATGTTTGATAAAAACATATTTGAATTGTACCGCTCTAGAGGAGATTCTGCCATGGGTGTTTAACTCTTAGGTGAACTTTTAGAAGGCGTACTGCCGTTATCTCAACTTTATCTGTAGTCTACCTGGTAGAAGACGTTTGAATGGTTACACGGGTTTAGAAGCACTAATATTCTACTGATCTTTTAGGGACACATTGAAGTGGGCCTACTTCTAGACGATATCTCGATTATCCGTTGTAATTTTTCGCACCCAACTTTATCTGTACCTGGTAGAAGACGTTTGAATGGTTACACGGGTTTAGAAGCACTAATATTCTACTGATCTTTTAGGGACACATTGAAGTGAAGTTACTTCTAGACGATATCTCGATTATCCGTTGTAATTTTTCGCACCACCACATTGTGTACCTTGTTCCGTATTGTTGTTTTTTATCGCGGACGCTGAATTTTTATTTCCATATCACCTGAAGTAACGGTATTTTCCTCAGCTTAGTTCTCGGTCTTAGTCACCCAAGCTAGTATTCATGTCAAAACAACCACCAAAGGTGCGCATCAAAAAGCTTCGAAAGATGGGATCTGGAGTTTGTGTTTCTCGTTTTAGTTCTTCGTTTTCTTCTCCCAGATTAGTTTCTTCATTGACACTGTTGGAATCAGCTGATGTTTGTGAGCATCCGTCAGTAAACCACTTCCCAGATGCTTGTTTATGCTCACATGGGGCTCGCGTTTGGTTTGAGTAATTGAGCCCGTTCTCAAATGTTACAGAACTTTGCGTCTGTCTTGGCGACGAAAGTGCATAATCATGCGCCGGACGACTGCTGTTTGGTCCCTGTTCATTGATCAAGGGATCTAGCTTAAATGGAGACATGGAAATTCGTGACGCTTGATTGACTGGTGACTCTCCTTCAAACCAGTAGCCCTCTGACTTGGTTGCTCCGTTGGCTGTAACTTCGTGCGGTAGCAAAGGTGTACTTGTGATATGCGGATGTGTAATGCGTCGTGATAAAACCGAGCTCGATAGTGGCTGGTGAGCTAGAAGCAACAGTCGATTTTGTATCACAGTTGCATCCTGAACCAAAAATATAAATAAACCTTTCCCCTGGTGACAGCCGCTCCCACAGATTAGATACAGTCGCTTCATATGAACACCGAATCTGTGGAGAAAAACATAAATTGAAGCTATGTTAGAAAACTGTGTTGGCTGACTTACGCAGCTTAAGAAAAATACGGGTGACTAATTCAAAAGCCCTTGGTGCCTGCAGGACCAAGGTGCCTAGGACCTGTCACCATCCTAAGGTCTGGAATGAATATCTGAAAACTTAGGCACCGATCGAATTTTTGCGGATACGCTAAATTTGGTTCAAAAGGATAGAGGTTAGATGTACAGCTGAATGATACTGGGCAGTTAACCCAGAGTCCGAATCCAGCATCAGCAAATCCAAATCCAAGGTAAATTTCATCCATCCTCCCCGTCAATAATCACTAAAACATAGTTCAGTGAGTCAGAGTTCTGACAAATATTAGTTATTAGTTTTTACCCGTGATTGAGTCATAACTGAGCAATGGTAATGACTAGTGGGGCGAAACTACATTAATCAACATAACCGCTTGTGAAATTCCCTCCAAGTTGTTATTTCAACATTGTGTAAATATGCGCATTTCTCTGTGGATACACTTGAATCAAAATTATTACGTGATCCGGTCCTTATACAGGACCGGAGAATAGTTACACCTTTATTGGGCTTCTTTCAAATGCACTCAGAGAACCATCTCAAATCCCAGAAATGAACTTTGTTAACCATGGAAACATTAAAATTAACTGACTACTGACCAGCTTCGTCAACTACCATGGCCGAATTAGTATACATGCTTGCTTCGTTCTAGTAGGCGCTCGCGGAAAAATCATCCAAAATCATCCAGCTGAATAACCAAAAGCGGGTTAAGCTGCGGTCATACGGGTCACATGACCTCCTGGATGCTAGTACTTGACACTTCGTACTTGGAGAGAGCGGAATAGTTTGGCAGCAAACGCGTGCTTTGGAAGCTAGAAATTTGAAGCGCGTGTCGTAGACATGCAAATAACAATAAATTAAATAACCCAATTTAAAACAGAAATGCAACGGAAGATGTTATTATTTTGACCGAATATAGAGTACCTCCGGCAATGTTTGATTCTGGGGTGGGCGGGCTACGGATTGAACTAAAAGTACTGCCAACTCTTATTGATTCCGCAGTTACGTGTGCCTTTTTTCCTAAAATACACTTCTAATATTTTTGGTAGCCACATGCCGTGTGTTGTTACGGGTCTTATCATCCAATTTGCACCAGTTACTACGTCCTGAACCCAAAATTTTATTCCTCTTGAGAAGTGATCTTTCTCATTCAAAGCCAGTTATCGATTATCTGACCTCCTAGAAATTGGCGGTTTCCTATCTGAGTGCCTCCAGTAGCGTGAAACGAAAAAATGTAACTTAGCCTCTTTCGGCAGTGCTTTAGTTGTCGGTTAACTGATAATCGAGATCAAGTCACTCCCGGGGGACATTTTTAGTTTCATTCTATGCTTTTAATTACTCAGGAACTTGAGCATGTATTCACGCATTCGGTGAGCAAAAATATGTGACCTGTTTTCTAGCCAAAGTTAGGGTTATCTGCTAACTTCAATGATGCTCACTTTCACGATTACTCTGTACGGTACAATGTCTATGGCATATTCAATTTAGCCCAAACACATGATCATACATACGGGATCACGCTACCTGAATTGTCTGTTCTGGACAACAGCCCAATGGAACTCCATTTCAGGCATATAAGGTGTTTCAGACGACATGTAGCATTTTTGGACCAGTACTGCTCGAAACATTGAGGTTTTGGCTTTATTCGGTGATTTAAAAGTCAAGTGTTGCTTTGACGATAGCGAGAAAATTGATGGAGACAAATAAATATACTATAACAGTACTATGCTATAAATATACTATAACTATAACTATACATCTACGTTCATAAACCCATCAGCTGCTAACTCAGGCATCAACACTTAGATTGAGCGCGCTAGAACTTTTATGTGATTAGGCAACGCTCTTTGGAGAATTCCAGAAGTCAACAGCAATAAGAAGCTTTTTGGATTAATAGAAATAGGTTAGTCGCCAAGAGCACGCGCAAGTGGAACGGAAACGTTCTTGTTTCTGACCCACTCAGGCTCCAACTCTTTGATCACTGATACACCTGGTGCACCATAATGGCCTATTGGCGATCCAAGAAGACGACACGGTAATGTATCCTGTGCTTCCGTAAATGTTTAACGATAAAGTCTGTTGTCGTTTCCGGCTCACATTCGAGATCGAGATAGCGCTGTTGGACCCAAGTGCAACTGTAGACTTGGATATCTGCCGCGGGGGTGATGCTGAATTCCACTGGTAAGGCCCGAATAAGTTGATGTTGTATAAATGTGCATATTCCATCATGTGTAGTAGCCATTTGGGACACTACTGGAAACTGCTTATCGTTTTAAACGAGATATTGTTGGAAGATGTTGATGAAATTTTAACTGATTTAATCAGCTGTCTTAAACCCGCAGCATTCGTATTAGAGACCGAAATCATAAGTAGCGTAAGGTAATACGACTCGAAAATAGGGTGGTCTGATTAAATGTGGTCAACAAACGTCCACTAACCATGCAATACAATGGGACGTACTACTGTATTTTTTATTTGTGCGTTTCAATTAAAATACTTCTGTTGAAATCTTGTATGCACCTGTGTGTCTATCGGTTACTAAGTTTATGGACCCAAATACCCTCGTCCGTTGAGTTTTGCTAAGGTAAGTTTAGAATCCTATAGAGTTATAGTGTAAATATTGTGTTAATTTTGACAAAATAGCCTCTTGTTTGAGTTCCGCCAACAAGTGGGCCTACTTCTAGACGATGTCTCGATTATCCGTTGTAATTTTTCGCACCACCACATTGTGTACCTTGTTCCGTATTGTTGTTTTTTATCGCGGACGCTGAATTTTTATTTCCATATCACCTGAAGTAACGGTATTTTCCTCAGCTTAGTTCTCGGTCTTAGTCACCCAAGCTAGTATTCATGTCAAAACAACCACCAAAGGTGTGCAGGTTATATTAAAACCCAAAACGAAGTCAAGAATAATTGTACAGCACTTCCTGTGTACAATGTAAGCCTGACGCCTTCTGGATGCGTCATTAGCTACCGACATTCGGCCAATACTGGGTGAGGGCTGGCTGTTGAGTCCAGACTTTCGATCAATCAGATCTCGGATTGTTGCGGGTCCTACAAGCGCCCCGAACTTTTGATCAATCTTGCGCGGGACGGGCCTTTCGGCCCTAGCAGCACCTGACTGCGAGCGGTAAAGTGAGATCTGTGTGGAATTCCATTTAACACTGCCCCCTCCAGCAGTTCTTCTAATCGACAGCAGTCTATTCTTCGTAGGGCGGATAGGTAGATATTTTGGACAGATAGGCTGTAATACAGTCAGGGTTGGACGAACGTACTGAAGGAGCATGTTGTGACATGTATCCAATGTGTGTTTTACTAGTCACATACAATAGCGTCACTTTATCTCCATCATATTTTCGCTCTCATTAGAGGCGCGCCTGTTACCACCACCAGCATATGCCGATCACATCTTAATTACTTGTACATGGTTGCTGGACTTTTAGAATTTATACCCACATTACCTTTTCTCAAAAAGTCCTCCATATTGTCTAGCGAAGTCAGCCCGGGGAGTCTAAACAACAGAGAAGATCAAGCACTGGACTCGAGTTTTGCCCCCCAATCCGGCTCATAAGCGATACATGCCCCTAGCCTTGCCGGGGTCTGAATTCCCTAGGTCTGATAGGCCAGGCCAGCGTACAACCACTGCTCTACGAGCACCAGCTGCACGCATTCGAATTATCACATGTGAATAGACAAACGCTTTCACGCTCGACCGATGTAGTTGGCTTTTTCGACGCCGCGAACGACTACCCAGGGTCCGTCCTGGTGGCTACGATCGATTTACCGACTTAACAGGTTTTCGCGAGCCAGGAACAGTCATGGAAGCTTGAATCCTACTGGCCACTTTTTTAATTGTCATGAGTGGTTGCGAGCTTTGTAGACTTTGTGTTCATATTCAGCTTCTCTATTCCAGGTGGGAAGATAAAGTGGAAGATCACCCGCTTCGGAGTCAAGTTAACAGTGTGAAACGTAGCTGGGGACCAATCTATCACTTTGAACCTATTGATGAGAAAGAAGAGCGAGTGTCAAGAAGTGAATCTGGATCAACCATTAGAGCACAAGAAGACGACCATCCAGTTGTCACTTCCTCTACTCCTGGAGATGAAATTCTCGAGGAAGAACTGTTCGGAAGCGAAGTTGGACGGTCCGAATGGAACGAAAAGCAAGGGAAACGCGAAAAATCAGTTCTACGTGAAAATAGTATTCGAAGGGTTATCACAAGATCAGCAACATGGAATGGGTGGCTTTTTGGCAAGCCATTGGACCTACAAGCTTCTGAACACAAGGTGTTAGATGCGACTGTTCAGACGGAAGATGAAGACGACAGTATGCATAGTGGATCCGATATTGCTATTCGCACAACATTCTAGCTTTCACTGGGCATTGTGTGTTCCAGTTGGTTATCAAGACAGCCACACTGCTCGATTATTGATTTTATTAGTGTATCTAAATCATAAAGTTTCCTGGATTAAATGGCGCATATGTGGTTGAAAGGTGAATAAAGTTTACAAGGCGATATCCTGAAAACGATTTTACACGGCTACACGCTGATTCCAAATAGTTATAATTTGTCAAAACGCATACAATGAACTCATGGTTCACAAAACGGAGCAGCTGGATCTGACAGTGCTTGCCCTCTGGAGGTATTTCAGCCACGGTTTACCGTGCCTTCATTATCCTTCCGCAATACTGTTTCACATTGCCTATGGTATAATGCGCACAACTGGTTAAAGCAGCTGTAGGCTGTAGAAGTTTCCCGCCTAACACAGTACTTGCACAAAAATAACAGTTGAACGCAGTTCTATTGGAAGAATGTTCCTTGTACAGGACCTAATACTGGAAGTTATACGAGAGAGATCATCAGAGATCAACTTGAGCTTTTCTTCGCCCATAAGATAAATGGGGCTAGAGTCTACTCAACGAGTCATCTTGTCGATTACCAGTTGAAAGCTTATTTCACTGTAGATAAAGAGTGGCACATAGAGAGTACAAAAATACTAGAACATATAGTTGAATGTTTATGAATAACTGAAACCTATCCTTGTTCAGGATTGTTCGTAGGTAACACCAATAGCGAGATTAGGGTGCTCTACTTCAATTGCATTTAAAAATTCACTCGGATCACCTCAAATAATGTCACGATACGGCTTCAGTTATTACTAAAATAGTGTGATGTGCACAACACTGGAAGGATTCTTACTGAAGGTGCTGCAAAATTTAAAAGGAGTTGCACATACAGACGTCCCTCTAGAGAAAGATAAGGACTGTCGTAGCGTATTTCCATTAATCGAGCAGATAATTCGAATCAAGACACAACACACACTCTGTGCCGAAGCTTTTAGTAGTGACACGACTCTCATAGCAACTTTTTCCAAGTAGCTATACTGTTCTACCATTGAAAGGTTAAATTCCCAAATACGAAGATCTCTAAACGACCGAAAAATGTGATTACATTTATTGGGTGGAGGGTACCTAAAGCACATGAGCACAACTTCCTGTTTCAGCCGTGAATTTCACACAGGAACTTAGCTAAGCTTTTTTGCATTTGAAACAAATGCACTGGCCTCTGGGCATGGATGCTTTGCCGGAAAAGAGAGAGTTTACCAGGGAAGAAAAAAAATAATGGTCATGTAGGGAACCAGATGACTGGTAGTAATGGTGAAAGTATTTACCCATGTTTGATTTCTGCGAGTTACTTGCCTCATTATTTTGAATCCGAGATTCACTGCTTCTGGGAAGATTCAGACAACAAACAATTTCAAAACGATCCTGGGCTGATAGGTGGATACTAATATCTTCACGGACCTAGGCAATTACCTTGCAAACATTTCGTCACCATACGAGGAAGCATCACCCGTGCCCGCATTGACAAATACCTCGATGCGCTTTTCACGCACTCATCTACGAATAACAGGGCAACACCACGCCAGTTTTTTACCATGCCCAACTATCCTACTCGGCTTTCATTTGGTGTAATAGAAAACACATACATGGAAGTCAAACTTAGTACGCCTTGAATGCCATTTTTGATTTTTCGGTATAAAACATCATCGGTAATTTTGGGTAAAAGCAACTTTTATAGAACGTCCTTTTGGGCTGTTTTTGCTTGTTTGTGCCGTTATGCACTCCCAAACAACGGTGTATACGATTTGCCTAACAACTTAACGCAGCTTAAATTCAAGAAAATTATGCGCAACGAAAAAGTAATCCTAGGAGGTTGATCCGTTAAATTTACGATCAAAATTGTTAAATTTTCTACCTGCGACAGGAAACCACATACATTTGAAATTAATGAACTAGATGTTGCAGTGAGCAAAGGATGCGAGTATACGGTAATGGAATAGTAAACCAAACAAGTCTGAATTATTTTTACTAATTCTACGTCAGTTTAATGAGCACAGAAAACTTTATATCCCAGAATTTACTTTCCGTAATCTCCAAATATCCCGCTCTATTGTTAGCCTGGAGCCCATCAAGATAGCGGTGCACTTAAGATACGAGAGTGCGTCTGAACTGTTGATCAAAATTCACAGAGCCTTTCCTTCTTGAAGAGAGCTGTTTATGATAGAAGACGCACTCGCTAATTTTGTCCTTCATTACTGTTAGATATAGAACACGTAGTGGAAATAAATGTCAAGCTAAAGGGTCTACATTAGTATGTGCATGTGGGGATGCTAATGCAGCTTTGGAAATTCACTGCATATTCTAGGAGATTCTCATGAAATGCAGTGGCCCTTATCGACAGGCGGTGCCCGGAAAGCCACACCAATTCAAACCGCTATGACATATTAATTAAGCTTGTTTCAGATCTGATACTATATGAGCCGCCAAGCCCAAATTCTGAACAAATGGCAGTCTGATTTCGAGGCGCAAACAATCTCCTCAGAATCAGTAATATGTCTGAAAACCAGGTGTTCGTCTGCTTGAAAACACTGTTGCCGAATTTTCTAGGTAAGTTTGATGTGATCGTTTATGTCTTTTGTGGCTGGTTGGTAGGCTGTAATTAATCGAATACTGACATTCGCGCTGGTGACTATCATCCGTTTCCTTGAGAATGATCAGCAAACATCACCTCACTCTCTAAAAAAATTATTGCACTAGACTAACGACAATAACACCTTTAGGTTCTGAACAGATCGCTCTACAAAAATTTAAGAGAAATTCATATTTGATGATGATTTGCATTATGAATAACCCGAACATTGTCAAACCAGTAAGGGTGTTTCGCAATCAGAAAAGTCCAGTGTATGGAAACTGGGCGGATTAGATTTTTCGGAACAACCAAAAGACTGGTATGCTACAGTCGAATGGCCCAAATCACCTTCATTAAAGAAAGTCCGACGAAAGCTTTTGTTTCTAGTTCAGTGTTAAAGTATGCGACTTTACCAAGAAGCATTTCATGAACTAGCAGACCAAGATAATGTGCAGTATTTATACACTGTCACCACGGTCACCATTTGATCCAAACTACCTCTTGGCGGGCACCTGGTGTAATTCAGCAGTAAATATAGGTAACTCACCTTTTCCATTCATTATTATTTCAAAACAGGAGCTGCCAAACTTATGCTAATGTAGCTTTGAATTTTAATCCTTTTCTCGTGTTTTCTGTTTACATATGGAGCTTTGTGTAGAATAGCTGATTTCATGGAAATATTTTTTCACCATGCTCATTCAGGTAGCGGTTATACGGGAATTATTTCTTTATGTACGTGTTTGTCTTTGGTACGGTGCTGTTGTCAACAAAACACATCAAATCCTCGGAAACTTCTGATTCTAAATTGTTCTTTAAAGCGTACTCCATTAGGGGACCGTTCAAAAAAGATGTCCGCTCTCGAGCAGATTATCGCAGAATGTCACCGTTATGTGTGCATTAAATTCGGTTTGTCTTTGGTCAACCTAATTGTCTACCAGTATGCTAAACTCTATCTTACTCTAGTTAGTAAATTAGCCATTACTAATGTTCTTTCGGGGACTGAAGAGGAGACAGCGCTTTCTTCGATTAAAAGACTTAGTTTTTTGACGTAATGGCTCGAATAACAAAACAGGTGGTCTGGCTTATTTTGTAAACAATATCTATTCTACGTATGTTCACATACATGTGTTCACCTAGTTGAACAGTCAGCGGGATTGTGAACTGTGCGTGATGCGGCAGATTGCAAGCTTCGTAATTGCTGAGTTGTGTTGAACGGACTTACACTTTTATCAGATTACTGAGACTAAATGCGAAAAAAAGTTTCAAGAAAAGATAGTGATAGTCAGCTGATGAACACTTGTGCAAATACTGCTTCAGAAAAAAGAATTCTCACGATAAGCGACCCCTTCAATGAAGAAGTCGTCACTCAAAGAATCAGTCAGTGGGTGACCGTGTGATGTGGCATTTGTGACTGAAGAATGGGTAGCTGTATATCCTGCCTATCACGGTCGATCAACTGCCATGGGTGGCCGGTTAACTGTTCAACTACTAGTCGGTAGGTCGTCAGTTTAATGAGATGCGGGCTTCTACGTATTTTCAAAAGATTGTCTGGATTCGCTTACATAAGGAAAAATACCAATCCTGTCCATACACTTCATCCCATTTCGCAACATTTAAATCAGCTATATAGAAGCAATTACGGGACAAATGAAATCCTATCAGATGTAGGAACTAACGAGGAATAATGTCTGTGCTCCTCCCCTCTGAACATTCATCCTCGCTACTGCGCCACAAATAATCTGAAGCGAACGTCCTTTAAATGCTAGTTCTCACTTTTTAGGCTACTCATGAGTAGTGGAAATCGAATATTTACACAAAAGCTTCATGGTCCATCCCATGTATTTCTCTCATTCGTGAAAACCAGGTTGTACACTTGATTCCTTCATTCTGAGTGATTCCCAAATCAGTACTCTTTACGTACAGCCGGATTCGTTTAGCTGTATTGTGGATAGGTGCTGACCAAGTCCATGATTTCCTAAGATGTTACCTGTTAAATAACCCACCTCTTACTAGGTACAGATGAAGCAGCTTTAGTTTGATTCATCAAGCCTCTTGTGAACGACGGGCTTGAATGGACGGCAAGCCCAGCTATCCTTAAGTGAAGCAGCTGAAGCTTCCGAATGGTCTCTCAGTCACCTACATCATCCAAGAATTTTAGGACTTCCGGATGTTGACAGGAGTCCATCTGTTTGACGTGTCTTTTGTGTGCACAGACCTGCGGTGATCTTTCCGTAATTTCAAATCTGAAAGCCCAACCAGATAACAACTTAAGACCACTGCTTCTTGCTCTCATACATATTTTACCTCGTTTTAACTGTCACTTTTTGTGCTCTGAAATATGGCTCTATGCCACTAATCAGTTCGCCTCAGTTGGAGGATTTTCCAGTGATTTTGGTAACACTCTCATCGAAGCTTGTAACGTTTTTTGGTGTACCTAACCCATCATTAAATGTTTAGACAAGCCTAGGTGTATATGTGTATCCTAGGGTTTTAAAATATAGAGTCGAATTTCTCACTAAGTCGTTGATAACATTGACATAAAC